GACCCCCATTCTTTAAGCCTCTAAACTTTAATCTGTATCTCAGTGGTCACACGACTAGTCTGCCACAAATGTTTTGTTGTTCTTGATTAGTACATTTTACGTTTTTAAGATGATTATAAAAGGATATTTTCATTAACATTATTGCAGTATTATCACTATTATTACATTAGCGATAATAGTCTGAACCTAATAATAATGATAGTTGCTTTATTTTTACTATTGTTATTGTTAGTAGTGGTAGGGTAGCAGAAGTATTATGGAAACATTATCATACTCAGATTATTTATTCGATATATGATAATACATGTATTCATAAAAGTTATATTTTGTCTTACCTTTATTCATTTGTATTGTGTTTATATTATGTTCAATGTATTTATTTGCTTTAGAACAACAACAATAAGGATAATGATTAAAAAAAATTGTTTTGTAAACATTATGGGGGGCACAGTGGGGGAGGACTGGTTAGCAGGGTGTCCCTCAACTGTTGCCCGAAGACAGCGAGGATCCAGCGTGCCCGAGACCCACATGAGGATCGGCGGGTCAGATAATGGACGGATGCAAAGATTATTATTAATAAACATAATTACTATTATTACAGTAGTAGTATACAGAACATTGACATTGAATGCTGTATTATAATGATAATAATTTTACATTATTATACTGCATATACACAATTAAACAATGCATACTAAGAATAATTGTCAGAATAACAATGCATATGTATTGCATTTAAAATAATTACAAAAACATTCTAACAGTAATTAGATTACTACAAAACGTATCATATATAATTATACAAAATAATCATGACAAAATTAGAGTTACTGACAATGACAATTATAATAAGAACAGCAATCATCATCAATATCACGAAAATATTTTGAAATTAATTTTTTTAGTTAGTTTTATCGTTTGGATTTGAGCAAAACTCACCTCCCGGGCGATCTGGTTGAGAGCATCGTCCTCTGCGGTCAGCTTCTCCAGGTTGGGCAGCCTCTTTCTGCCGGGTCCTTGAGTCCCCATCGTCCACAAATATCCAGCGACGCACAGTGCCGTCGCGCCTTCGCCTCCAGAACACACCACCCTTGGCTTCACAAGCTTGACCGACACCAGGCAGACGCGTTGACCATCAAAGTGGCGCTCCTTCGAAGCGTGCGGTTCGGCTTCAAGTCCTTTTCCGGGCTCGAACTCTCATTGGAGATTCGGTGTCTGTCGTTCGCGCCCAAGCTAAACGTTAGCCCCGCTTCAGAACCACAAAACGCTTGAAACCGGCTCCGTCACAAATGCCGCCCCTCCTTCGCCCCAAAAACTCGTTAATCCGCCTCTGTCAACATCCGCCGCCAGCCTGGGAGCCGCCTACGTTGCTTCCGGGACGTCAAGAATCAAAACTCACGTCATGCCGGTGACAGGTGATGCGCCGGAGAGGGACGCCGCCGGACCTGAAACTCTGCATCCCGAATACCACCTGACCTTACCTTCCGCAGTGTGACCACGTGACGAAGGCAAGGGGCGGGGCCGAGGCCGAAGCCAAAGCCGCGGGCTTTTACGGGCAGTGGCGACAAGTAAACTGTTACCGCACAAGAGTAAACTCCTCACGTCTCTGTACATTACACTGGTCAAGAGCAAATTTTAAATCAGGGATGGTTTTATATGTTACGGAGAAGCGTATTTGTAATGCTAATTTTAAAAAAATGTCAACTATTTTTCGAGCACGTCGGATTTTTAAAAAATATTTTCATAATTTGTTTTTAAGTTTGACCTATAAAAACTTGTGCAATACGGATTTTACCAATGTTGTAATTTAGAGCTATGTGACGTATCAGAACCTAACCCTTACTTTACAATTATTACTATAATGCTCGATTATTATTGAAACCTTATGTGCAAGAGATTCATAATCAGTACCAACAATTCATCTAGATACGTTTACATGCATGTCTGATTCATGAAATTTGTAAAAAATGTGTTGAAAAGTCTAATTGTGTTTGCCTGAGACCTCTCAGGAATGAGGTGGTGACGAAGCACTTTTTTTCCCATTGTGCCAAGTTATCAAAACTGTTTAGAGTGATGCAATACCTCAAATCATCTTTCTCCATTACAATAAATGGAACTTAAATTAATCTGTCCCAGCCTCACCCCCCCCAAAATGTTCATTTTGCAATGTTTTGTGAAATAAAGCAAATACCACTCTCTAAAAGTATGCTTTATAAGAACACGGAAATAACAAATAAACAGAATATAAATAATTACAGTTTGTGTATCATGGGTGCCGACCTTGGCCACCAGGGACAGTATGATACAGTCAAATGAACAGATTCCCACTACTTGCAATCACCCAATAATTGCATAAGTTGTTTTTTCATAGAGGATAAGCAATATATACATGTGAGTATTGTGATTTTTCTGTGTAGATGTGTTTTTCCACTATTTATAGCCATTGCTTAGACTATGGACACTAATTATTCACCTGTCAATCGCATTTTCTATTATGTGTTGGCATTAAAGAGGAAGTCAACTCAAAGATTTTCTTCACAGTAATATGTTCTATGTGGCTTCAGTAGTCCAAACAAATAAAAAAGTCTTGTACCTCAAATTTGATTGGAAGGAAGAACAACTAATGCACATATAATCCAAGTAAAATGCGCAGCATGTTTTCCTACAGTATGGATTTAAAATCACTGATAATCATTGTGAGGTGTCATTCATATTGAGAGCAAGACAAAGTCTGACATGCTGTCACATCCATCCATCCATCGGTTTTTATTTAAGTGCTCTCAGTGGTTCGCATTACGGTCAGCCAGGGCCTATTCCCATCCCTTTTTTTTTTTTTTTTTTAACCAAGAAGTGCCGGCATTAATCACATTCACCATAATGATCAACAATGATTAAACATAGTTGAAAACTACAATAATAATAATAAGAAGAATAACATCAGCATCAATATGTATCACTTTCAGTCAATTTTATTTTAATAGCCCCAATTTACAACTGAAGTTATCTGCAGGCAGTTGACACATTGAGCACGTCAAGAACCACACACCTTGTAAATCAGGGGTGACCAACCTTTTTTGACCAAAGATCTACTTTTCGATCAACCAACCTCCCGCGATCGGCTCGTTTGTTACCGGACACGCGCATACGTACGCGCGAACACACACATGCCCTGATGAGCAACAGCCATAACGGCCCCTTTGATGAACAAAACAGAAAAATAAAGTCGACACATGAGTTTGTGAAAAGCAAATCACTGCCTACCTTCGTAGAGACCTGACAGGGAAGCATGGGACGCACTTTTGCAGCGTGTTAACGATCGTAGCTCAAGCGTAGCGTTTTAAAATGCTTCTCCCAGCTCTCCAGATTCCCATTCTTTGCCCGTGCCCTCGGTGAATTGTACATGAAACAAACTCTGAATGAGAATAAAAATAACAATTAAAGATATAGCGCAACGGCTCTGATCGCAAGCTGCAAATTGCAGACGGCTGACCGCTAACAACTTCCGGTGATGCGGGTCATGCGCCACCGTAGGTTAAAGGTGACCTGATTTTTTATTTTATTTGATTCTTTTTAAACCTTTTTTTGTGAAACTGAGACTGATAGGATGCTAGGGGTGCAGTGTGCACTAGCACAAAAATATATCATATTAATAACACGCACACAGACTCACCAATGTTTGGGGTTGTCCCCCAAAATTGAAATCTAGAAACAGATAGCGGGTCAGAGTGAGTCGATAGAGAGAGAAAACAGGAAAGCGGGGTTGAGAGACTTCGGGATGGACGAGAGAACAATCGGAAAACAAGCAAGAGCCACCTCAACAGCAGTAATTAGATGGACCATATTCGTGGGGGGCAGGGACGGACGGGTCTGGCCCGGAACTGGTGGAAATCCACAATTGATGGCCATGATAATGGCATTGGGGGAAAAAAAAACAAGGTATTTTCCCGTAAAAAGATGACAGAAAAAAAATATTGGGAAAAAAAAATGTCAGCAAATTGGTAAAGCCATGGGTGTCAAACTACAAGTCTGCGTGCATACGCATTTCAATAAATAATTGCGAGTGCTGACGTTTTCAAATGATCTTTGATTATGGAAAATATTTTAAATTTGATCACCCCAAAAGATTCTAAATTTTGCAAATACTGTTTATGCGAAGGATTACATTTTTCATCACTTCAATTATTTCCTCGAAAAGTCGAGAAGTAGGGGAAAAATAAGATTTAAAACCTTTGAGACCTAACCGGGTAGAAGAAACTTGCTGGTTCAAGAGATGTTGGATTTGAAAGCAGCGCCATTTCTCTCGGGTTCTGTGGAGAGAAAAAATATATATGGTTCATGAAAAGGATATATTGTTTATCACTGGCGCTGGGATGAAACCTCCAATGTCATAATTTGGGAAATTTAATTTTTTCACACATTTACTGTATATTACTGGTTCAGTCCACACGTGTGGTTGTTATTTTGACAAACTTTTGACCAATCGAAAGTGTTGAAAATGCTTTTCGTTTTTGGGGTCTCCTGAAAAATGCAGATTTGGGACGAAGGAGGATCCCGCCTAATGCCAGCGACATACTGTAAACGTGAATTTAATTTCAAGAACAAAGTAGCCTTACTGGCAATGTGCTCTTGATTAGACTTCTTCCTCTGTGATCCGGAAACCTAAAACAAATCCAAACAAGAATGTTATTCCGTGACAACGCATCAAAACAATGATCGCAGTGGTTCATTACCTTCTTCTTCGATCGTGCAGCTCTCAGGGCTGCCAGCTTACTTTCGATATCGGATACCTGAAGAGAAAATAGAACGTGCCATTTTCATAATTGAATGATGATAATCAATACAATTTCGTGCAGCCTGTGATTGGTTGATGTGCGTGGCCCCGCCTTACCTCGCTTTCGGCACTCTGCACCCTGGCGGCTGTCAGCGCCACCACATCCTCCAGCTCGGAAAGTTCCGAATCTGTTGCGCCGCCGAAGCGATTTTTGGCACTTTGTTCCAGTCGCCGCAGCTTCGTTTCCAGTTCGTGCGACTGCCCGGCGGCGATGTACACCTGTGACACACACGTGATGCGTGAGGTGCTGCGCAGACCTAGAACATTTGCCTCTCACACATACAATGAAAAATCTGTCACGCACACAATAAATAAATAAATAAACAAATACAACAAATACATTAGCATGCACCAAAAAAACACACACACACACACACACACACACACACACACACACACACACACACACACACACACACACACACACGCACACACACA